AGTCCTGAGAGAAGTTAACCTTTTTGGGAAGTCAATATATGCACTGTTTGGGAAGGGTAATATTTGCATTAATTGTTGTGAATACAGTAGGCAGGCTCTTTCAAGGCAGGTCAGTCTGTGCTGACCTCCAGGGCACATACTGTCGTAGTTGTGGAATTTTCCTTTTCTCTGCAGTGTTATCTACTGTTTTTCTCTGTCATGCTACACTAAGAAATTTGTGGTTATAGTTTTCTTATTGTTAAAGGTCTCTACTGTTGCAGGCCATTCCAAGTCATTCAGCTAGGAGGTCGTTGTTTGAGCACTATGTTAAAACACGTGCAGAGGAGGAAAGAAAGGAAAAAAGAGCAGCTCAGAAGGCTGCAATAGAGGGATTTAAGCAGCTATTGGATGAAGCATCAGAGGTCTTGTAGATTGCCTTAGTTTGAATCTTGCTTGTGTCTATCTTTTTAGCTGAACTGTGGGGATTGGAGATTGCTTATGGAATCTTTTAAAATTTTCAGGATATTGATCATAACACCGATTACCAAAGTTTCAGAAAGAAATGGGCCAATGATCCACGCTTTGAGGCTTTAGATCGAAGGGATCGAGAGCATTTGTTGAATGAAAGGTATCAACTAAGAAGAAGACTGCATATATATATATATATATATATATCCTTGGTGTTGTGCATATAAAGCTGTGAAGTTAGTCTTTTATTTATTTATTTATTTATTTATTTTTCAATAGGAAAGTAGACTTCTTATTCTTAATAAAATGGAATTCTACAACAAAGAGGACAAGATGTCCACTGAAGGAATACAAAATCCTGATAATTAATAATCGTCTGCCTTCAATGAAAGCAACTAGAATATATATCCACCTAAAGTAGTAAGTTAGTGACTAGATTCCCATATTTCTTGGGTGTGTCTTTTAGTCTATATATCTCTTTGGATTCGCACGGCATATCTAATTTTGCTTCTATGATAAATTTATATGAGAATGGTCATGTATGATTTGTATTGTACATGCAGGGTCCTTCCATTGAAGAGGGCTGCTGAAGAAAAGGCTCAAGCAGTGCGTGCCGCTGCTGCAACTGGTTTTAAGTCCATGCTTCAAGAAAAAGGAGATATTACTGTTACTTCTCGTTGGTCCAGGGTAGGTACATTCAGGTTGTGGTTTATTTGATGTGCAGAAGTGTGTGCTTCCAGACAATGTGCTTCTGGGTGTCTTTTGTGCCAATGAGGAATTTGGGCTGCTTCGTTTTGAAGCAATTCTTATTGGTGTTTTAGATCATTAAGATATTTTAGAACACAAGGATCTGCCACATTTTGTGAAATCTAAATAATGGGGTCAATAATTTATTTTTTTAAAAAAATTTGAATGTAGGTTCTGCACCAAGTAAACAAATATGAGATAATAAGTGTGCTAGAAATTTTATATGAACCTTGCATTAATTTTCTCTAGTAGATTCATTTCTGTTGGGGACTTGCTGTAGGTGAAAGATAGTCTGCGGAATGACCCAAGATACAAATCTGTTAGGCATGAGGATAGGGAAATATTATTCAATCAGTATATATCTGATCTAAAAGCTGTGGAGGAGGAAGCAGAACGAGGGGCAAAAGCTAAGCGGGATGAGCAGGTAAAGACTATCTACATTTGTTAGGAACTCCCTCCTCCCCCTCCTCCTTTTCTCTGTCTGTCTGTCTGTCTCTCTCTCTCTCTCTCTCACACACACACACACATGCTGTTGATACATAAAACGGGACTTTCATAGGCTCAAAAGGTTTGCATGATTGGAATCAAATACTTGTACTGAACATATATCTGTGTATATAACTGTATATTTTAATAATTAGTCATTGTTAATTTGCTAAACTTCTGAAGATTAACCAATAATGATAACATAAGTGAACCTTACGTATAAGAAAACCTTTATTAAAAGAAGTGGGAAATTTAAGGTGGTAAATATGGAATGATTGATTTATTAACCAATATGCCTTTTCTTTTTTGTTTGGCTATCTTTGTTATTTATCACTTCAGGTGGTGTGTTGGTGGGGATTTCGGAATTAGTTCTTCAAAACATTTGACAGAACTTATAGGACCTGAAAAAAAAAAAGCAGAACCTATATCTTATTAGTTTATTGCATCTACGAGAGTGTACTTTGAATAAAGGAAAATTGTTAAGATTTTGTCTTCCCTGCACTGGCTTTCAGGAGAAACTGAGGGAAAGGGAGCGAGAATTGAGGAAGAGGAAGGAAAGAGAAGAACAAGAAACGGAGAGGGTGCGACTGAAGGTTCGCAGGAAGGAGGCAGTTGCTACTTTTCAAGCTTTACTTGTGGAAACAATTAAAGATCCTCAGGTATTATTTTTGGTTAATTGGTTTTATATTTTAGGGACTTTGTCCTGGGCTTCATTATCTAAAACCATGCATCTGAGATGTATTGCTGCATATCTAGTATGGTATGAATGTGGTGTATAGTGTATTAATAAATCATTATACGTTTTGTTTATCATGTACTCAGGCATCTTGGACAGGATCTAAACCTAAATTGGAGAAGGATCCACAAAGGCGTGCAGCCAACCCTGACTTAGAACCATCTGACATGGAAAAGCTCTTCCGGGAACACATAAAGATGCTAAATGAGGTAATATATAATCTAGTGCTTGGATCCATTTGAATTTTGTTTCCATAGTTAAGAATTGTCTTTGTTGCTTGTAACTTATTCCGGTAAAAGAATGCACACTTTGTAATCCTTCTTAATCGTTTGGCTTTTCCAGCGATGTGCACATGAGTTCAGAGCTCTGTTGGCTGAAGTCTTGACTGCAGAAGCAGCGTCCCAGGAGACCGAAGATGGGAAAACCGTTCTAAATTCGTGGTCAACTGCAAAACGTCTTCTGAAGCCAGATCCTAGATACAACAAGATGGCAAGAAAAGAGAGGGAAGTGTTGTGGCGACGATATTCCGAAGAAATGCTCCGGAAGCAAAAGTCAGCACTTGATCACAAGGAAGACAGGAAAACAGATGCTAAAAGTAGAAGCTCTGTCGACGGTGGAAGAGTTCCCTTTGGATCTAGGGGTACCCATGACCGAAGATGATGTTTTGGTTAGAATTTAGAGACTAGGCTTTCAATTTGTTTTGTCCAAGTCCTAATTTTCATAATTTTGACTTGAGTAGGAGAGGAAAGAGACACAAACCGACGCTGCTGTATTATAGTTGTATAATATTATTTGAAGTGATTAAGCTGATTTTACTAGCGTATTATTTGTAATGTGACAAGTTTTACTATTTAAGTTGAGCTTTCCAAGTAATTGTACTGCTAAAAAAGAAAAATAAATGTCCCAGCCTCCCTAGCCTACAAATTTTATTCAATAAGTAATTTGTCCAGCTATCTTGTCCCTTGGGAATAATTTGTTGTAGCGAATGCTTACTTACCATTGAAATGCATTATACCCTTTTGGTGCAGCATATGACTTTAAAATTCATTGAAAAAATGTGTCCTTTAAAACTCATTGCTTTTCTCTTTGCCCTAGTAACCTTTGTTACCCAAATGCCGGTTTCTGGCATGTCCGTTAAATGTCTTTGTTTTGGCAATACCTCTGCCTCCAACGGATTCTGATTAGGAATTAACCCCACTACTATATACTTCTACTTCTTTTTTAAGTACAAACTTCTACTTCTTTTTTAAGTACAAGTGATAGTCTAAACTACAGGGGAGGGGATTTCTCTCACACACACACACAATTATGATGTCGTGGGAATTCGAACATGAGACCTCTGATATGCAAGTTAAAGGGCTTTTCCACTGAGCTAGACCCCGTTAACATTCTTTTTCTCTCTTTTAAAGAAAGTAAAGGAAGACATATTGTTAGTCACGACTCATGCCACACCAAGTGATTTCGGTGATGAGGAGGTGTTTAGTTATATGAAGAAATTAAAGAGAGAGACATAAGTAAAAATAGAAGAGCTTGAGTTGCGATAAGGGAGGGAAGGTTTAGATAGCGAGACCTATACTGGCGAACGTTTTGTCACGATAGACCTATTCCGACAAATTTTTAACAGTGAAAATTTTGTCAGGCTAGACCTATCCCTATGAAGTATTGTTGGATAGACCTATCCATGTGAAGTATTGTCGGATAGGCCTATCCCAGTGAAGTATTGTGCGGATAGGTCTAACTCGTTGAAAGTTTGACGGGATAGACCTATCCTAACAAATATATGTTGGGTACATCTATCCCAACGAAATGTTGTCGGAAGAGACCTATCCCAGCAAATATTTGTGGAGTTATATCTATCTCGGCGAATGCTTGATGGGTAGAGCCCCAACAAATTTGGGTAAACCTATCCCAACAAATTTTTGTCGTGATAGACATATCCTGGCGAAATTTTGTCATGATAGAGGCCTATTTCAGTGAAAGTTTGACGCGATAGACTTATCACGACAAAAATTGGTAGGGTTATATCTATCCCAACGAATGTCTATCCCGACGAATGTTTGTCAGGGTATACCTATCCTGGCGAAATTTGTCGGGATAAACCTATCCAGCAAATTTTTTATCAGGTAGACCTATCCCCTATGTTGCATGGGCACGGTTATGGCGACACGGGGAAAAGAAAAATCTCATAAAATTCGGACACGGGGACACGACAATTAAAAAATAATAATTTATAATAATACTTATATATATTTAAAAATATATATATTGATATTCATTCTCCAATTTCACAATATCCATATATACTGACCCGTGTCCGAAAAGTGTCTTGATCGTATATGGAGAGTGTCTTTATTGTGGACACAACGTTGATTGTTGGATACGGGTGTCCTACACTCCGACACTTGGGCTTAGTGGAGTGTCCATGCAACATAGCCTATCCCGGCGAAGTTTTGGAGAAAAAAAAAAAAGGTAACAAAAGATTTAAAGTGCGAAATATTAAGGTAATACAAAAATTTACAAAAAAGATTTTTTTTTTTGTTGATCAAATACAAAGTGAAATATTAGGGTAATACAAAAATTTACAATAAACCGATAATTGGTGCTAGTGGCCGAAGCTGGAACCCAAGTTTAGAATTAGGGCTTCCAGTCTCTCTCTCTTCTGATCCTGCACAAACATAGTTATCTTCTTCAATCGTTCGCGATTATAATTAGGGGTTCGCAGATGAAGACAGCGGAATCGCACAATTAGGTTTAGGGCTTGCACATTTGAGAGGCTCGAGGCTTGCGACCGCCGTTAGGTTGAAAGGAAACTCAGGTAAGGTAAGATTTGGTCCTGAAAATCAGCTAAAAGAAAAGGAATTTGAAATTCGGAAGTCCTGATATTGGGACATCTGACATTGTATGACGATGCCAAATCCATGGAAGTCTTAATTTTTCTTTGCTGGTTTTCTGCTCGTTTCGTGGTAATATTGTTCAGATGGTGTAGGACTTAGGAGCCTCATATTTCTTATTTGCTTGAGTAATGCTATATTCCTCAATGGTTTCGAATGGTTCAGTAATTTGGTAAAAACCATCCCAACTTTGCAGTATATCATCATTGGCTTGTTTATGAACTACACTTAAATACATTGTCGTTCCTTGGTTTGCTCTGCCACGTTCAATCCTTTGCAAAATAAATGCCTTTCTATCTAATACGTTTAATATTTTCATATTTCAATACAACTAGAAAAAAAATGTCTTACTGAAAGTATGTCTTTGTGAAGGATTGGAGTTGGTTTTCACTTAGCCCAGTTTCATGAAAGTGGAGCTATATGGCAACCTATCCAGGAAAAGGAGCTCCTTCAAATGGGTCTGTCTATGTTTGCAACTTGCCTGAGGGGACTGATGAAAATATGTTGGCTGAATATTTTGGCACCATTGGGTTGTTAAAGGTAGGGAGTTTGACCGGGTATTGTAAGAAGTTGCACTTGCTACTCTTTAACTGACTTTCAACATAAGTTTCTTTGTGCATATGGAATTCTCATCCGTTTTTTCTTGCTTACACTTTTCATTCTTGCTTTCTACTATTTAGAAAGACAAGCGAACAGGTCGACCAAAAATTTGGCTATACCGAGACAAACTGACAAACGAACCTAAGGGAGATGCTACTGTAACATATGAGGATCCACATGCTGCATCAGCAGCCGTTGAATGGTTTAACGACAAGGATTTCCATGGTAATGCCATTGGGGTTTTTATAGCAGAGTCAAAAAGCAAAGATGATCAGACTCATAATCCTGGGGGCGATCCAATTGTTGGCGGTGAGTATGATGGACTTGAGGAAATTGCTCAGGATACAAATGGAGGTGTTGGCGGCGGTAGAGGTCGGGGTGATGCTCCTGGGAAAGCATGGCAACAAGAGGGAGACTGGACATGTCCGAATACAAGGTCTGTGATGTGAGATTGGTGAGCAGCTCTTTCTTGCACTTTTTTGAGCATTTTTATTTCTTAAATGTAATATTTACTCGGTAAATGGCTTCTCATGCCATATTTTTCTAGCAGCTGTTCCAATGTGAATTTTGCATTTCGTGGTGTGTGCAATCGCTGCGGAAGTGCTCGACCTACTGGTGCTTCCGGTGGTGGCGCAGGGGGTGGTGGTCGTGGCAGGGGTCGTGGACTTGACTCTGGGGGCCGTGGTGGTCCTGTCGGTGCTCCTACAGGTGGACTCTTTGGTCCAAATGATTGGCCTTGTCCAATGTAAGACTGCGTTCGCCTCCCGCTCTCAAGGCCTTTTCTATCTCATAGACTCTTGTTACTGTTGTTGTTTTTGTTAAGTTCCAGTCCAATGAAGTGGAATAGTGGGAAATTATTTAATAATTTAGTTCATGAGCAGCTCTGAATTTAAAAATAAAATAAAATTGGCTCAGCTGTTTTTACAATAGGTGAAAGTCATGTGAACTTAATTAATAAATTAGGTGACCACAATCTCAGAAGTTTTTCCTATATAAGATAGTGAAGGATTTTCAGCATCTCTATATTTTGGAAGCATGGTTTCCTCGTTATATTTTAAGGGCTTTTTATTTTATCTTCTTGTGCTTTTGAGTTTCTTTACATCTTAACAAATCTTTTATCATATTGTGAGATTTTGGGAATTAGGTGCCATCCTGCATCAATCTTAGTTAATTGGTTTTTATGACACACGTAACACCTTGAAGTTGTGAGTTGTAACTACTTCATGTAGCATTAGGTTTCATACTTGAAGGCTAAGTTTGATGAGGCTATATGATTGATGCTGTACTGGCCTACTCAATTGTTGATATTCAGATATATAGAAGTTTGCATATTGCATTCATCTCGTAAGCTAATTCTATTGTGCTTGAAAACTAGATAGCAGTACCATATGCATTTTTTATTTGATGTTGGACAAAGATGTTATTTATTTTGTGTCATGAGCTGAGCTGAGCGCATTATTGTTCACACTTTTCGTTTGCTTTTTTGGTTTCAGGTGTGGCAACATCAACTGGGCAAAGCGTACAAAATGCAACATATGCAACACAAATAGACCTGGTCACAATGAAGGTGGTGTAAGGTATTACATGATTACTACTTTAATATATTATCAGTTGCCAATGAAGAATAGGAATCTATTGTGTTGGAGACGATGTGATACTAAAATAACATAAACATACCTATGCACAGTCTTCTCCTGTTATGGTTGTTATGTACCTATGTTCATACCTAAATGTGTCAACCCTTCCCTTCCCCTCACACCCACAATCTTAAACGGAAAAATATACATAAGTATTTGAATAATAACCTGTATATGTGAAGAATATACATCATGTTGTCTTCTCCTTGTAAACAAAGTTAATTGGTCCACAAAGTACCTGTTCCTGTTTTACATGCTATAGGGATCCATGTTTTTCCCCCTGCTTCTCTTTTTTCTCAAACTATCATATTTCCCCCCAGCTGCAGAATTAGATACACATTGGTGGTGGTTAAGCAAGAAGACAATATGCTGTTTTTTCCTGTTTTCTTAGGTTACCTCTACTGCTATTAGAAATATTTTTTGGTCTGTACTTTACTTAGCATTCTTTTGTGACATTTCTAGATATTATACTGCTTTGCCTTACTTATATTTGACAGAGGGGGACGTGGTGGGGGTTACAAAGAACTTGATGAAGAAGAACTAGAGGAAATCAAGCGACGTCGGCGGGAGGCAGAAGAAGTAAGATTTATTTAAATAGATAGCATTTGTTCAAGTTTCATATATTTTTGTTCTGGTTTAGCAGAAATTTTGTGCCATTCTCAGGATGATGGCGAGATGTATGATGAGTTTGGCAACCTTAAAAAAAAATTTCGCGCTAAAACACAACAAACTGAAACTGGACGAGCTCTTCCAGGTGCTGGACGTGCTGGATGGGAGGTGGAGGAAATAGGTACTTGTGCATTTTTCGGCATGGTTATCCGTAATGTTTAAGTATGTTGTAATTGATTTAATATTTTAGATTTAAAATGCCTAATTATTGAGGTTATATACCTAGGAGTTAATTAACCCATTCTCCGACATGATTGCCCCTTTTTCCATTTCATAAAATCATAGCACTAAAAAATCTCTGTTCAGCCTGAAGTTTATTTTAGGAACTTTACCTGAATGGTTGTTGCCATTCTGTTTTAGTCAAATAAGTGATTGACTTTGTTCACAATAATGATATGGCAGGTGTAATTGACAGAGATGGCAGGGAGAGAAATAGAGAGAGAGGAAGGGAACGTGATGATAGACCGAGCAGCAAGAACAGAGAAAGAGATGACAGGGATAGGCGTCGCAGTAGAAGCAGAGAAAGGGAAAGGGATAGGGGGAGAGATAGACCTCGAGATTATGATTATGATCGGGACAAAGAATATGGGCGGGACAGGGACAGAGACCGGGATCGGGACCGGAACAGGCACCGTTACTGAAGGTTATGGGATAGAGTTTTGGTTCTCTTATGCAAGTAGGTCGGACTGCATTCGTGTTGAACTATGTTTTACTTGGCATTTTAAGCTATTCGGATGGAATATGGGTCTCCACCACTTTCTTCAAACTGTGATCTGCGCCTGCATGTAAAATTTGTTTTCCGTACGTTGGCACTATTCAAATTTTGCTTTCAACATTTTCCTTTTAAGTTATGAATATTAATTTGTCACAATGGAATGGGTTATTTTCGAAATTGCATGGTTGAGTTGTTTCGAAATCCTGATTTTTAAGTTTCAACAAAGGATGGATATGGCCAATGGGGTCTAGCTAAATAGCCGTTTCATGACACATTGGTAGTGTATGTGAGAAAACCCCTCCCCAATATCACTTGTATGAAAAAAAAAAAAAAAAAAAAAAAAAAGAGCAAAGGATTGATATTCATTTATAGATCAACTGCCTAGCCTTTCTTCATTTTTTCAACAAAAGGTAGAAACAGAAGTACCACAATGCACAGCTCTACTCAACTACCTAAATGATATAACACTTGTGATTTCACCTTCGGCCTTTTTAATTTTGTATTTTTATACAACTGACCTTCCACTCTTACTATTCTTAAATTGCCAAACCCCATCCGCAACTATTAACTATTTAGCTGCTTAATTAATGTTGATTCTCTCAGTTTGATACCTTGCTAGTTTTTGTTTGTTTACTACAAATTATGCTTTGCTTCTTAACCTGATGCGGCTAATACAAAATATAATCACATCTATAACAACACGAGAGAGACAGAATAACTTATTGTTCCTTCATTTGCTGCTATCACTCTCTCTCTCTGCTGCTGGCTGGGCCCCTTCTTCACATGCCTGAAATCTGATCGTCCTTAATTATAATAAGTCCTAAAGAGCAGGCAACTTGAGCTTGCATGTATGACAAAACTATTCCATGAGAGCAACCTTCTTGACTTGCAGAATTTGTCTGCCTATAAAAAGACAAAATCTCCACGTTATCTTTATCTTTGTATTTGTTGAACCAACATTTATTTTCTGGATTAATCGAATGAACGAAAACTTGTGTAAGTTCTTTCTTTCTTTGTTTTTATTTGTTTCTGTTCAAAAACAGAGTTCTCACTTCTTAAATAAGAACCCAAAGCAAAACAACTTCTCATTTTCATTGGGAATATGTTCCTTCCTTCCTTGATGTCCATACCATGACATCTTATTGGTGGGACATCAAATCCTCAATTGCAAAGAAAAAACCTACTCTCTCTCTCTCTCTCTCTCTCTCTCTCTCTCTCTCTTCTTTTTTAATCTTTTGGGACAGAACAGAAGTCCTCTTGTTTCAACACGGTTCACTGATTAAATTAAAGGATTGCTGATGAGTCATGATGCTCCTCCTAAAGGTCAAAAACTTGTACCCTTTATTAATAGGGTCACTGCTACGCGTGTACGAACATTTTCCTTTTCCCCTTGTCTTGTGCCAGCAGCACATTAGCTTTCAGCATTCTCTCGCCGTCTGTGACGCAGATAGAGGTTTGTTGAATTCATTCAATGCAAAACAGCTATGTCACAACTCTCTGATTTTCAAATCCACATTAATGGTCAGCAAACATTCTTTGTGAATGAGGTATAGAAACTGCAGCTTTGTTATACTTCTTTCTATGTAATCAAACAATCTCTTAAAAAGTTTCCAACACACTTTTGCAGGAGATTTTATCGACATATTCAGGAAGGTTGAAGAAGATCATCAAGCATGAAAGGAGAAGGACCCAGATCAAGAATTCAGGGATTGAAATCGATGACTTCCCTGGAGGCCCTGATGGGTTCGAGTTGATTTCTCGATTCTGTTACAACAATGGAAGAATCACAACCACAGTTTCAAATGTGTCCCTCCTCCACTGCTGTGCAGTCTACCTTGGTATGACTGAGAAGCTCTCAACTTGCAATCTATTGCAGCAAACACAAGTCTTTCTTGATGGACTTTTTGAGTGGTCATGGAAAGACATACTAGTCTGCCTCAAGAGCTGCGGCTCATTCTGCAACTATGCAGATTCATCTGGTCTGCTAGACAAACTCATTTGTGCTCTGTTGGCTAAGATTGCTCAAAATTCAGATATAAGCAGCCTCATTGCCGGGTCGTCTTCTACGTCCTCTTCTCCAGAAACTGCATCTGGGTTTAGACCCTCTTCCTCATATAAGAACACCCCTGAATCAATCAAGCCAAGCTCATCAAGCAGAGCCTGGTGGTTTGATGATGTGGCCATTTTACCACCAAAGATCATTGAAAAACTCTTCCAGAGTTTGGGTGCTTATGGAGCTGATAACAACAGCTTGATCCTCACAAGATTTCTCCTTCATTACCTGAAAGTTTCAGCTCAGAGGAAAGCTAATTATAATCATACATCATCAGCGGCAGTGAATTCAAAATGTGAGTTTGGTGGTCTTGCGGACACAGCTGTTCATGGGGTCATTTTGGTTGGGAGAAAAACGTTTTCCTGCAGAGCGCTGTTTTGGGTATTGAGGATTGTGTCTGGCTTTGGACTGAGTAAAGAGTACAGGCTTGGTTTGGAAGGATTGATTGGTGGAATGCTTGATGAAGCAACATTGGATGACTTGCTAGTGTCTGGGCATGACAGGGGTGTTTTTGATGTCAATCTTGTGAAAAGATTGATAAGAGTGTTTGTTAAAAGTTATGGAGTGTCAGTGCAGAAGTTGAAGATAGCCGGGAGATTGATTGATAAGTACTTGGGTGAAATATCCCCTGATCAGAATCTCAAGATTTCTAAATTTTTGGGAGTTGCAGAGAGTTTACCTGATTCTGCCAGGGATTGCTTTGATGGGGCCTACAGAGCGATTGATATCTATCTTGAGGTGAGCATGCCATACCTCTCCCTTCTTTTATTTCCCTTTTCTTTTGCTCCATCATGACAAAATAATTGAAAGCTTTTGAAAAAAGTGAACTTAACAATTCCTCTTTCTTATTTCCTTGTTTTTTTTTTTTTCTTTCTGTTTCTGGGTAGAGAAGTTGCATTAATTAGCATTCTGTTTCCAAATTGTCTGTCATGAAGGAAGAAACTTAGTTGATAATCTGGAAAATTGGTTCATAGTTCCTGCAGAGAGTGTGCCTTTTTGTTTCTTCTTCTTTTTTTGGGTCAAACAATCTGCCTGTTTCTGTCTCTCAAGAGATAAGGATGCATTCTAATATTTGGAATGTGGCTAGGCTATACAAAGTATAGGTAACCCTATCCTTTATCAATCCCTCCCTCTGTTTCAAAACGGGGATGTCATTGTCCAATAAACTAAGGGTGGCAAAAGGAAATGAAAAAAGATAGAGAGCCTCCATGGCCAGATGGGGGAAAGGAGAAGAGGCACAAAAGAATGATGGGCATCCTTTACTATTACTCGAAGAATGGGGAACCCAATATCATAATCTGTTGATGGGAAAGGGGAATTGTTGCTATTAGGAATTAATATTAGTATTCACATGATTTATGGCCCATATCTTTTGGCTGGCATGCACATTTCAATTAATTTATGTGAATGTGATTTTTGTTGAGAGTCCACATTGAAAAGTTAAGAGATCTAACCTAAGTTTATAAGGAGTTGGGTTACTTTCCCTATTGCCAATTGGTTTTTGGTTTTAAGGTGGAAGCTCAACTTCCTTCATGGTATCAAAGCAAGGCTTCACGTGTTAAGTCCTAAGGCCACATGTGCTCCCACGTCACCCAATATATGTTGTCATTACTCAAGCTTGTGTTTTTTACTTGTATGCTTTCTAAAGCCGAAAAAAGATGACTAGAAAAGAAAGCACTTGACATGATTTCAGAAACTCATGTTTAATGTAGTTGATTACTGACAGTTAATTTTTGAATTGAATATGTGGTGGGCAGTCTCATCCTAGTCTTTCATTTGAGGAGCGGTCAAGATTATGCAGATGCCTAAACTATGAAAAGCTGAGCCTTGGAGCATGTAAAGAGCTTGCCAAGAATCCAAAAATCCCACCAAGGGTTGCCATGCAAGCCCTTATGTCTCAACAATCCAAAATAACACCACCAACACCAAAACCAAAACAACAATGTGTAAATTATGAAATGTTTGCGTACAAGGGTGGTGTTGATGATGAAGAGAGCTTAGCAGAAGAAGGGAGGATGGAAGAAACACTAAACTTGCAGAGGATGCAATGGAGGGTGGTGGAGTTAGAGAAACTGTGCAGGCAAATGAAGGGGCAGATGTCAAGGATGGTGAAGCATAGTCATGTTTTCGCTACCCCAACTCATACTAGACCTCTGCCTAGACTTTGTTGATTCATCAATGTTTCTTCTCGGAGCTCCATTAAAAAAATACGGTTAAATATTATTGTAAAAGATTGTTATTATTTGCAGTGCGTATTCTCTCCTCCTTTTGTTTTTCCTTTTCGATGAAAATGTCATTGGGGGATTGCTTGTAATTATTTCATCATGATCAAAATGAGATATCATTTAATTTTGCAAGTCAGAAACTAAAAGGAGCTTTCCACTTTTTTCTGTTCATCAATAATATGTTATCGCTTATATTTATAAATAAATAAAAATGGAAAGAAAAATAAAAGAGATGATGAGATTCTTGTATATATGATATATTCCAGGAAGGGGAAAGGGCCAAGAACTTGGCAATATTAGCAAGTTGTGACCTCAACTAAACAAAACCATTGGCTTAAGTTGTATTAACAGCCTTGTTGTAATTCAATATTTTATTGGTTTACTTGTCATTATCATACATGTGATGTGAGAGAGACTGATTAATAATGCCACAACTTTGTTTGATATCCCGTGATTAGGGCAATAGGGTTGAATTGTTCATAAGTTATAAGCAAGTGCATCCACATAAATAAAAACATTCACAATTTTAATTTTATTATTGAAATTTTATTGCTATTTCTTTAAGCCATGAACAAAACTTCCATTGCAATCTTTTTATACAAGCATGAAGAACTTTAAAAAACTTCAAGAAAACTCTTTTCTTTTCCTTTAATGCGAATGGATTAGTGGAACTTCATATAAGTATTAGCACATATATAAGGTTAGGTAGGTGGGGAGGGATCAAAGCTTTGCTTGCCAGAAATTCAATTTGGCACGCTTAAAGGTTAGAAAAGAAAATTAGTTAAGCCTACTAATATTAGGAGGTACACATTTATTACTTCCTTACCCCTTGCGTGCAAAGTGCAAAGTGCAAAATGCAAAATGCAAAATGCAAAATGCAGAGAGAGGCTGTTTTATTACGTGAGCACCACTTTACAATTTTTTGTCACTCGCTTCGCTTTAACTAAACAATTTAAAAGTGCTTTTGAGATGTACAAACTCGCTTCGCTTTGACAAAACAATTTATAAGTGCTTTTGAGATGTACAAAAGATAGAGTTAAATTTAGAGGTAGTTTTAAAGATATCGATGGTTGGTAGGTTAAGCGATATTAACTAATTTTTTGTCACTCGCTTCGCTTTAACTAAACAATTTAAAAGTGCTTTTGAGATGTACAAACTCGCTTCGCTTTGACAAAACAATTTATAAGTGCTTTTGAGATGTACAAAAGATAGAGTTAAATTTAGAGGTAGTTTTAAAGACATCGATGGGTGGTAGGTTAAGCGATATGAACTTTTTTTCTTGTTTATGATAAGAAATGCGAAGGATAAATAATATAAATTGTCAAGTGGGGGAAGGCAGGAATGACGGATGAGCGGGCCTTTACACCAAATTAGCGTGTTCAGTCCACCACCGAAAGATACGTTCCAGTTCTTCCCTTCCCTCCCCAACTCCCACTCTACTTGTTCTTCCCAAATTAACCTTCATATATCCTTTCCATATTTGATATAAAGCTCTGGTCAAACAGTTAGGGGCATTTGTGTAATCCTATCCTACACCGGCATTCAGCAAGAACATCCCAGAAGCGACGGGCAATAGCGTAAATTGAGGATGTAGAAGGTAGTGGATTTCTTCTCGGAACCGCGTCATAGAAAGGAGAAACCAAGAAAGCACGAACTTTTTTTTATCAGAAATTGCATGCCAATTGCCAAACTTCCTTTCTCTCTCTTTCTCCTTACCCGGTACCCCTTCATATTCTAATATAAACCTCTACACACACATATTGTATGTAGCCGTTTGTTTCTTCACTCGGGCCGACACTTTGGAACATTTTCCCTGAAAATAATATTTTCCTCGGAAAAGTTCAATCTCTCTCCCTCAAAACATTCATCATCTGGCAATGTACCTAACGGAAATCTCCAACTTTTCTTCATTCTCGCCATTTCGCGTGGCTAAGAAACACTCTGTTCCCAACAATTTGGACCTCATCTCACTCTCCTTCGATGACGCTCTGCTTTGCCGCTTGAAAACGCTGACTCCACCGTCGATCAGCCTGTCTTGGCTCTCCAAGGCCGTCGATTTCCTCGCCTTGGCTCAGTCCGAAGCCAGAGTTCTCATCTCCAATCTCAAAGTAGCGGCTCTCGATGATTCGCTTGCTTGTTATTTGGACGACAGCGTCAAGCTCTTGGACCTCTGCAACTCCGTCTCTGCCGACATCGAACGCTTTCGCCAGCGTCGCCTTCTTCTCACCTTCGTTCTTCACCTTCTCGGCGACGGGAATCAGTCTCCGGAGAAGCTCCGTCGAGCCAGCAAAGCTCTCTCCGACTTCGAGCGCTGTGCTTCGGACCTCGGAAAACGGAGCAATGCGGAGGTCTTGGTCAGAGATCTGGCCACGGGGCTCCGCAACGTGCCACGCGGCAAGGCCTCGAGCGTCGGGAAGCTCGTGCGTCGAACCGTGCAAGCCGTGGGATTGGTGACCGTGTTCGTCGCCGGAGTCGTGGTGGCGACGATCCACGGATCTCCTGAGATGGTAAGGGTCGGAGTGCCGGCGGAGTTTTCATGGGCCGAGTCGTTGAACGAGTTGGAATCGGAGGTGTCGGCCGAGTTGAAACGGCGATTCGGGGGCGAAAAGGACAAGAAACAGAAAGGCCTATTGCAGGAGTTGGAAGACGTGGGGACACGTGTAAGGGAAGCGTGTGAGGTCATTGATGACCTGGCAGGAGTTGCGGTAGAGGAGGAGGAGAAGAAACGGCTAAACGATGTCGTAAAAGAGCTGGAGAGGGCAACTGGGTCGTTTTCGGATGGGTTGGAGCAGTTGAGTAATGGCGTGAATGAGATGTTCAATGGTGTTTTGTGTAACAGGAACCACATGCTGGAGAAGGTGAGAGAGAGAGGAGTGGGGCCAAAAGCCATAAACAAAACTTAAAGCAAGAAAGAGACGAACGAACAAACAAAGAGAAGCAAAACCACACCCGAATCAATCAATTACAAATAGAAAGAGAGATAGTGAAATTTCATTAGCCTTTGTAAATTGGAATTGTCCCCCACATCTTTAGTCTTCCTTACTGAAAGGAAATTAAAATTAAAACCTGTGAATGAATTACAAAAGTTCTAATCTTTTCAATGTTCGGGTATACATTCAATTTAATCCATTTTCTTATGTCTATTTCTATTCCTGTAAACCAATAATAATAAAAGTATAATTGTGGATTTTAATTTAACGAGATAGTTTCACTTAAATTCCCTCTAAATGTCTCTAAATGTTTTGCATCTGGAGGTGAAGTTTTCAGAATTGAGGAAGGAACATGAGCTTTGCCCACTTTGAATGCAAACCTTTTGTGTTTGTGAGAGAGAATGAAAGAGGGAAGAAGAAGCGAGTGTCCCACAAGCCACGCCTACTGTGCAACTGCAAATTGTGCACATTCTGTATGTGCAATGAAATAACTTGATTCCGCACTGAATTTTTTGAGCAGACATTAGAGTTTAGGGACAATCTTCCTTTAATTTAAAATTTAAATAAATAAATCCATTATTAGGAGGAGGAGAGTTGTTCTATCTGCCTAGTCATCATGTGTCATTTGTGCTCTTCTTCATTCGCTGCCTAATTCACTACTGGATAAGGGAAGAGTTTAATAATCAAAGTACGATCACCTGTAAAACCCAAAACACTAACTAAAAAAGTATCATTGTTTTCCATTTTACAAGCGCTCAACTGAAACTCTCGGATTCTAATACACTACTTCTCTTATGGTTACATATTCCAACACAAGTTACAACAAAGGGGTGGTGGACTGACGAGCAACTTCTCTATCGAGGTTTTAGTACTACAACAAGTTAATGATTTCGTGTGATGCTGTTCTCGATGGTTTGTGAAGAGCATTGTCCACACTGGCAGGCGCGTTCTACATCTTCCTTAAGGAACGGTATTGCAGGCGAACATTCTCTCCAGTTTCAATAATCTTGAGCAAGTACCTGCATGAACATGAGGAAAGCATTGGATACAAAAGTTTCTGTCTAGGAAAAAAAAAGCACAGGTTAGTCATGCCAACTCACCAGCCATTGAGACACTGCGATGTAATGACCGCCTCCTTCCCAACAAATTTGTCTGGAGTCCTCCTGTTCCCCTGCATAATTAAGTATTCTTTTTACAATTCCTATTTGATCAATCATGGGCAACAGACAATTTTGATAAACAATGAAACAAACTCACCTTGATTACCACTTTTTCACTCACAGAAAATGGATACTGCACCCCACGAAGCCCATCATCACCGACGTCTCCATTTTCCTGCACACGCATAACAAATTATGCAATAGGAATGCTTGAAACACGGATGTGTACCCTCCTTACGCCAAAGACATTTTGCAAATTCCATGAATCACTACCCACTCGACTTTCCTCATTTACCATAACCGTAGTCAATATGACACAAAATCTTCCATCTAACTCTGTCAAGACACCATATCAATTTCAGCAGCCCCACAGCTTAATAATTTTCATATGTCACAATTGCCTAACTACATTCTGTTAACCTTACACATCCCATTTCACTTCCCATTTTCATATGTTCTGACAACGACTTGCATGGCTTCAAAAGTCTAAATGGAATATGTAATAGAAATATCAGGCATTTTTATCACTCACCCTGTTTGGTCTTCTTGATAAATCCATTTGGTCACCCAATTCTTTCCGACGCTTTCGGATAGTCGCGTTATGAAATAGCCTTCGATCATCCTCATGCTTCACTGCTGCAGCTGCAGCTCTCAGAGCTGTTGAGGAAATCATTCTATGTCAAAATAGAAACCACAAGGAATGTATTGCCTTGGAAAAGTGGATAGAAATGTAGGTGTCTTGATGATCCAAGACTGAAAAAATATATGTGCATGTGTGCGTGTGCACATTTTAAAATTTTTTTAGAAAGATTATGAAAGAAATTGGAATAAGAACATATTTAGGAAGAACTAAAAAGAAAAATGGAATTTACCAAGATTAGGAACCAGAGACCCGATCTCAATTTCTGTACTGCAGAGGGTACATCTTGACTGTGATGGAAAAAAACAACTGTAGTTATGATTCTAGTCCCTTCCCATCTAGAGGTAATAAATCCATTAGCAAGGCGATGATAAGAAGGCACGAAGGATACAAACATCCACAGGCCTCTACAAAGCAATAAAAGCAGCATTTCTCATATGTCTTCTAATATCAGGAGATAGCCTACTTACTGTGTCAATGACTCTTCTTAACATGAGACCGCCAAATGAATGCCCACAGGAAACTACCACAGCATCTTCAAGGAATGCACCGCTGAAGTATTTATAGATCACACCAAAAAGAGAGCGAAAAAAGAAACTTTAGCACCCTATATAATCCGACTAAACATTATAAGAATAAACACACATTGAGATAACCAACAAGTGGAGGGGGGAGTTTGAGAAAGATAAGACTTGGTCTACAATAGCAGATTGAGCTTTAGAGAGATCAACCATCCCACCAACCATCCTAGCATATTAAGTCTTGACTTAATGATCTTATCAGTAATCTTTGATATATAGTGTAAGTTCAGAACTTTTATTATCATTGTGAAACTCTCGAAACCCTGAGCTGGTCGGCAGGTATCATCCACTGCATAGACATACCCGAGTGACCAGCCCATACATGACAACAGTGAGGCTTACAATTTAAACGAACAGTACATTGCTAGGCAGATAAGGAACTAAGTTCAAAAGCAAATAACCACTTACGATAAGGGATCTGAGAGAACACTTCTTAAAGATGGTTCTTTGTTTAAATTATTTCGAGCTACCTGCAAATGCAAATTCCATAATAAGAAAGCTGTCCATCCTGGGCCACACATGTTGTCTTTTTCATAAAAGAATAAAAAAATTATAGAAACAAATAATGTGGTGCAAAGGAAATACAGTTGCTTAAGATGTTTTTGATAAGTCTTAAGTATATACACATTACTACAAACAAAGAAGAAATTAGTGATACTTTTTAGGTTTACTATTTAAGATATTCTTTTATAAATTCTTTTCATGTGCAAAGCACGCAATAAAAATTTTAGTTCTATTAAATCACAAAACTGATAGAAGCAGGCTTTTCTAGTATTAAGAAGCCTAGCTCAATGAATTTAAAGAAGCTACGAATTGATAACTAGTGCAGGGATCATAACAAATATGGCATTGAGCCTGTCAATGAAATCCTAGAAAGCCTCCATCATTATTTGCTTTTATCTCATTATATTCTTTTAAAAACTTTAACCCCCTACATCAGGTACTTGAAGATAAAACTTACATAAGTACTATCAGAACGACTGCCCAATACATCTTCCTCAGCAGAAAGATCATCCATAAACTGGCTTACAGATATTGGGACATAGCTCTGGGGAATGACATGACCAGCTGCTGCAATTGGAGAGCAATCTAATATAGCGTTACCTTGTGGCATGAGCCTAAATGCAAGTGATGTCCTACAATCGCCAAATGCAATCAGGTTAATTCCAAATGAACTTCCTGTAAATATGATTGAAATGATGGACAAACACATTAATGAGAACAAAGGAAAGCAGACAATTTGTACCTCCCACCATTATTAATGCCTGAGGAGTAATCGGAAGCAGCTTTATACGATGCAGCAGGGCGAAGGCCAGCTGTAGCATGGCTGAGTGCCTTACCTGTAAGTAGCAAAACATCCCCAGGAGCTAACCCACCCTCTGCTAGGTACCAACGACCATTGGGGTCACACACCTGAACCAGAAAACAGTTTGCACAAGTAATTTACAGAAATCATGAAGGAAATCATCTTTTTGTTTAGAAGAGACATTGAAACAAATGACAATAAGATGCAAAGCTCATCATCTGCAAATTAACCAATCTTTCAGAAACCATGATAACCAAGAAAAAGAAGGGCACCTGTATACCAGGACTGTCTGAGGAAATCAATGTCAACAACCCCTTCTCAACCTCACCATTCATTCCTGGCTTCCCTCCCCCAATAGCACCTTTTCCATTTTGCATGGAAGCATTTGAATAGGTTGCAACAAGCACTGATGAGGACACCTCGTTAGCGGGAAGGGGAGTATCATCAAGTAAATGGTTAAAAACACTGCAAAGATAGGAGTTACATGAGCAGATATACAAAAATGGTAATCAGGAAAACTCGAAGAAAAGCAAGTGAAAAGTTAAAGAGCCATCATCACCATCCTTACTCGCTTCGTAAACGAAGATGCCTAGCTATTGCACACAAAGCAACATGGGCCGCCTTGCCCATGCACCTAAAAATATCAGCCATGCATGGTGGGGATGAGTCCCAATCTTCCAAAGCCCTGCAACAAGTGAAGCTTTTCAGAAGCCCAAATCTCAATTCTCATAGGGCAACGATAGCAAGACTGTTATCATAAATCTCAATGCAACAAGAAACAGATAGATATATGAGTGCATAAACAAAGAATCATAAAGTTGAATGCAATGTTATTAGTAATTACAATGTGAAAATCCTCAAAGACGAATTCTTCGACCCAAAAACACACATTTCAAACTGCATTGATCACCAATACAGCATACGACAACGCTAGCCCTAATTCTATTTCCTAACTCACTCACTCAGTCATTCATCAAATTAAGCAATACCTGCCAGCTCTGTACATGTAAACTCCACGGCTTCCTTTCCCAGCACCAAGCTGGGCTCTACTCCTAAAATACAACCTGGAAGCTTCCAAGCCGCAGCGCAAGAGAGCCGCGTCCTCGCTACCCAATTCGATGACGGCCGCATTGTGCCTCATCAGAGACCCCGAAAGCGCCTCCACCGCCCTCAAATACAGCCCGCTCGGTGCACCGTCATACGGGGCAATATCGGAGAGCCGGACCCTCGCAAGTGGGCACGGAATTGTGGACGCAGGCTCACTGGAAGGTTGCGCAGCGGCGATAGGCAGCACGTGATCGACAGGTGGCGCGGGCAGAGGCAGAGCATGGCGAGAGAGAGGCGATGGCTGCTGCGAGTGTGTGGGGGTTGCCGTAGGTGATCTAATGGCGGTGGTGGTGGAGGAGGGAGGAGTAATTGAGTGAGACGCGGGTGCTGCAGAGGTCTGCTGCTGCATCATGATCATAACCATCAATCATTCTGAAGCTCAATGTTTGCTATGAATGAATGAATTGCTTCAATAGAAGTGTATGTGTGTTTGTGTGTGTGTGTTTTTTCTTCTTCTTTTGTTTGGTTAATTTCTGAGGATCATTTTCAAGGGTGGAAGTATGAGAATGAGAGACAGACAAATGAAGTTGGGTTTTGGGAAATTCACTTGTAATAAGTCTTGAGAGATTACAATGTCTCTAAGACTCTAACATAATTTTATTTGTTGCTTTTGATTTTTAACATCAACAAAAAAACTCTATCTATACAAGGAAAAAAGGGAGGGAGCTTATTAGGGTTTTGCTGGAGAATATAAAGACACTGAAATAAACAGTGTGGTAGGAAGCTGTTTCTTTTCTTTATCTCTCCCTCCTTTTCATTTTTTTTTACCTCTTTAGGCTGACTTTTCTTCAATTCAAGCAAAATATTTGGGGAGCTGCAATTCTTACTTATTACATGCCAATCACAATTTGACACGCGTCAAAAAGTGAAAATATATTTTCCTTTTCAGTAAGATATTTTTGTATTACCAGCAAAATCCTTAAAACTATGAAAATACTCTCAATATATTTTTCTTGATTTTCTTAAATCCGCTGAAAATTGAGCAGTTGCAGGTCCTTTCATTCTTGTTTTTTTTCTTTCCCTTTCTTTCTTATATAATCTTTCGTGCATGTAATAAGGCAGGCGGGCAGCAGGCAGCACGTCTTCTTACCAAGATCTCCACAAATGCATGCAGTTGCAGTAAAAAGGAATATAGAGTTTCTTCTCATCAATTCATGCATGAAGTCAACCCCCTGCCTCCCTTATCAGTATGATCCAATTCCAACAGTGAGATCATTTGTAGTGATATTGACATTTGATTTTCCTTGTGTTGTGAGGCAGCCAGCATTAAATATTTATGCACAAATCACAGATTTTATTATATTGAACATTTGTGTTCATCTTCAAACAACCCTCTCTGGCTGACGTATAAGTATTGGCTAATTAATCTAGCTTGATGCAAAATACATTTCACTCCCACTGCTTCTGCTTCACTCACAGTCTGCCAATTTACTTGTAAATCCATTCATTTGCACGCCCTCCAGACTCGTCCATATCGATAAAAATGCTCACTGCCTGCACAAAATGACTTGCAGAAATGGTTATATGGACAATAAATCAACAAACATATCCATTGTTCATTATTATTTCTTTTGTTTACCTTTCCTATCCGAGGCCTCTCTTTGAGCTTTGCTAGGCTGTTTCGGATATGCGACACAGCTCCCCAGCATTTCAAGGTGTTTGCCACATCGTCAAGCCTCAATAGATACTCTTCTTCAGTCAGTGGAAAGGATCTCTGAGAGACAAGCCCATGCATAACATACACCAAGGAGGGAAACCATGCAAACTCAGAGATTTGGATTGGATTAATTATTTAATTCCTATCAACTTTGCTTTTGCAGTTTGCAGACATGTTGCTTGTTCCAAAAAGAAAGTTGAAATTTGTTTGAGTAGGAGGAATTTGCATACCTGCTCCATATACTTCCACATGACATTCAAAGCAAGGAGATTTCTTCCAAGGAACTCCTACATTGGATTGGATTGGATTGGATTGGAGAAATGTAAAAGGGCCAAACAGTTCGCTAATCACACCCCAATTAAGATCCCATAATCATGAAAAATTGACAACAACTCTAACAAGTACCCTGTGTTATGCTTGTCATCTTCGCATCGCATAGAAAACATACCTTCTTTATGAGTTGAACGTCGTAAGACCTCCCATACTTGTTCCTAATAAGAGTTGCCAGGTCTATCCCACTGAAGGAGGAATCATCTGTACCAACAAGTCTTTCAAGATTCTCTCTAAGCATTTCACTATTCACCTGAAACAATACACAGGAAGGTCAACAAAACCACATGTTTTGCCATCTAAACTCAACATCTGCTATTAATTCCATCTAAAATAGTGTACAAATACGCACAGTTAAATAAGTAATGCTTTCAAATGAATAGCAGATACCATAAAAAATTCTATAGAAGATAGCAATAGGGATTGATTTAAGCAGCATAGATCATATGTATATGCAGTATATATATATATATAATGGAAACAGGGGCACAAGTGAAACAATATTTTCCATGCAAATTGAATTTGGCCACACTGTTCATTAATCTATAAACTCAGTTGAGCAAATTGGGACGACGAACCCACTAGACCAGAATCGAGCTTGAGGAACCAACGTTTCACATCCCAATGGTTTTTGTTAGCAGTCATATCACAAATATGGCAGCAGAGAGAAGAACATCAACATACCCCTCCAGTTTCAGGTTTGGGAGAAGAATCTTTTGCATCATCTGGATCTTCTGAATCATCTGGATTTATGCCATCATCTGTTGTACTTGAAAAGATAGGCCTATGTCTCCGATCACTGTGATAACGGATGTGACAATTACCAGTGGAAAAAACCAATCCTCCTCTTGAAGGAAAATACGAACCATTATATCCAGGAAGTACAACTTTGTTGAATCCCATTCCAGTGTTAAGGTTCTCCTGAACCCCAAATGACCAATTACAGTGGTGGCTTGAAATAATGCTCGTCATTTCCTGAAAAATGCATTCAATATTACCCTGAATTAATAATATTTTCAAAACGCCTTCTTTCTTTTTTCTTTCTTTTTTCAGGAACAACATGCAATCTGGAAAATTTACAAGAACAAGCATTCAGAACCCAGGTTGCTGATTGGGTTCCATTATGATTTGAAAAGCAGGAAGAGGAAAAGGAGAGAAATAGAGATTCATTATTCATAGTACTGATTACAGCATACCATTCTTTGCAACGACTGAGAAATTTAAACAAATAAATGAGAGAGCGAGAGAGAGAGCATTCAATTCAACTCATGAACAAGAACAGTAGTGTTAACAATCAAACAACATTAAAATTGAGCGTGTAAATATAAATCCAACCTGGTATTGTATGGAAGTGAAGTGAGCAGATATGGTTTCTGGGTCTAATGCTTGCTTGTTTCGGATATGGTAATAGGATCCAGTGGTGATTTTGCAACTCAACTTAGAATTGTACGTAAATTAGAGAAACCCAACAATAATCAGGACCGTTGGTTGGTTGTTCCTACTTAAGCAGTTAGTTTGTGGCTGACAAGGAAAGTCCTTTGCTTTGCTTTGCTTCACTTCGCTTCTTTGATGAGTGAGTGGTGGCGTGTCGTGTGTTGACCATTACTGAGCGTGAGGCCAAGGACAACTAGTCACGTGCACACAAGAAATCCAAGTCCAACTTTCTTCATCAATTTTTGTTGGGCGTATAATAAGCACATGGTCGTGTTTTTGGCGCCACTAGAATACACCAGACCAGAGTGTGGATAGGGCGTGTAGAATTTGCCAACCGTGATTGCAATTGCATTTTTAACATTCAATCAACTTATATAATTCTGCCACCAACAAACAATCATTTTTCAAATTCAGAATCCATAGATCCAAAGTCTAAACTTTTTATCATGTGAGAAATCACATTTACATATCAGAATTAGTACTATTCTAATAATCATTTTGTGGATGAGATTAGAAAATGAAATTGGATTGGGGGGGTATATAGGAAATGAAGAAATTGCTATTTGAAGTAGTATCTCGCAAAAGGGATGAGCAGAGAAAATTCAGAAACATTCAAAAGCACGCAAGATCAATCGACTCCATCGGACAAAATGAATTGCTTAGGGGGCAACACTACCTGGAATCTTGGATAGTTAGACTACTGTATTCTGTACAAAAAGACTAATGTATCAACGTCTAAACAAGTCCCAAAGTTGCTCATACATGATGAACTTAACTGAGATATTTTGAGACAAAATAAAGTTACAATTCGGTGCTGCTTGCTGAGATGCTTTTCTAGATCAAAGTTGCCAGTCCATGGGAGGAATACCCATCTCCTCCAGAAGCTGGTTCGTGCGAGAAAAATGCCTGTTCACATCATGAGCAAATTATCTGGTTACCATGTAATTTTTCTTAACATAATAATCACATATGATTATATTTCGAGACATGTAAATCTAAGGGGTTATACTCGGTATCACGCTTGCAAATACGGTGAAATTTCACATAGATAAAGACAAACAAAGAAATCCCAGGAAAATGCATACTAATTGTAACAGCCTATCCCAGATTTTTTAACAAACTAATTATAAGCTTATCACCATTATGCCATATTAGTAGACTTGGAGGGGCTCTCTGTCCCCACCCTCTTGTCTTTATTTGGATAGAAGTTGCAGTGTGGTAACCATTTCTGACGTAGTTAAAACTGACCTGCAGCCAAAGAAGCCCCTGTTTGCTGACAAACCAGAAGGATGTGCCGCTTTGAGAATGTGATGCTTTGACTCATCAATCAACCTGCATTGTAATTCAATTCTCCAATCAATTGAACGATAAAAACCCCTTCAACTCTTCTCAACCCATTTAGCCGGGGATAGTCCTCTATGCATTCCATCCAAGTTAAAGATCCTGACTATCAGAAGTTGCGATCTTTTTTGTCAGGCTATAGAAAGTACAAGTATTGAGATTCCTTAAAATTTTACAACCAGGAGATGTCAATCAGAATATCTTTAGAACTTTCTAAATGGAATAGCCTCGGAGCCTATATAAGCAGTGCCAGATGTTTGCAATATTCACATATTATCAAGTTGGTTCCGTCAATGACTCATTTTGAGGGATGTTCTAGACAATTTTGCAGTTGAACAAAGGATAAAATGGGCCAAAGTTTGTTTTATGATTGAGAGAACTTGCCGTATACAGCAAAGCTAGGCCCTCTGTATACCTAAATAGTATTCATTTCAAATTGAAACAACTTAACATGAGCCAAGGTGTCCCGATTCCTTGGTACTTTAGGCCAAAACATCAGAGCATAGACAAGTATATAACACCTAGCATGTCAGTTTGTTTGTGTGCACGTGTGTGTGTGTGAAGGAGGGGTAATATTTATTTTGTTGGAAATGTTCCATTTGCAGAGCCACTAAATTTAAAACTCACACCACAAAACAAACCTACTTGGATTTCTGCTGAGCAGAGTTTCCCCATAGGAGAAAAACTACTCCTTCCCTCTTCTGTGAAATTGTTTTGATAACAGCATCAGTAAATTGTTCCCATCCTTTCTTGGCATGAGAGTTAGCCTGATGATTCCTAACTGAATATGAAATTTAAAGGTCACAAGACAAAATAAAATGGAGTAAAACAATGAGAGAGAAAATAGATAAGAAAAAACTATCCAGAGCCACCTTTATATGCTTTTCCGGATTCCTATCCTATGGTTAATTGGAAAACATTATCTACAACTCTCACTTTGAACTTATTCTTTTCATTGAGAAAAAGGTGGCGGCAAGTAGCTA